TGTGCTCGGCGGCTGGTTGATGGATTAGTCTGTCGCGTGTCTACCGGTGATCGCAATCAGTCTCAACCCAGCAACACAGTTGGCGGTCCTCACTCCAATCTCCCCCCCCCCATCTGAACGATCTTCCAGAAGATGTGCCGGTGTGCAGTGGAAAATTCTTCCTTTTTCTCTCACCATAAAAGTGTTCATTTACATGACACGCACGCGCTTGTCTCCTTCTTCATCAGACAAGAAACCAGTGTTGTCAGACAACTATTATTTCCAATTCACATTTGAAATGGTAAAACCAGATAAAACATCTCAATGCTAAAGCAGAAGCTAGTTTAAGTACCTCTAAAATAGCACATAGTATCATGTGGCTTTCGAAGAGAGTGCACTTTTCTTTTTTTCCAAAATACATCTCTCTCATGTAGATTTGGTTCCATTTGGCTCATACATTAGTCCAACTCAATAAATCTGACGGTGCCAATACATTTTGAATATTTTTTGGGTTTTTCTTTACAGTGATGAACTCGAATCGCTGAAATATATGAGTAAAGATGCCAGTTTACGTAGGGGAGAATGAAATTCTTGTTGTTTATTTTTAGAGATCTTCACAGATTATGCTTTCACGTAACTTAAAATATCAGCACGTATACTATACACTAAGTGAACAAAGTTGTCATATTAAGTTTATAACATTCGACTGAAGCGGTACCATCAACGCTTTTATTATAGGAAGGATGGACCATTTTAGGCCAAAAAGAAGCATTGGTGTGAAGCATAAGTTTTTGTGTTAATTTAAAAAAGGGCTACTAAATGTCATTGTTTACAGTAGGAAGCGTCTGGAGAGCGAACGCTCCCTAAAAGAATAGGCAGAAAATTGTTTAAACGATCCCAGAAGTTGTAATTGTGAAATTAAGGTCAAGAAATGGTCAGGGTGGTCCGAAACGTTTGAAAATGAGGAAATGGAAATTTTGATTGATAACGACCCATGTCAAACGCCCAACTAAAGGTTCGAAATATAGACATTGGTGGATTCACTGTTAGCAAATGATTACGTAAATTAAGAATGATAGAGAAACAAGAAATTTGGATTACACATTCACTGATTAGGAGAGGACGAGAGAATCTTAGAAGTCCGCGTGGAACATTGCTTGCAATGCACGTACTTTTAGCATCGAGTCGTGATTGGTAACAGAAATGGTCCGTATACGATAATTATAAAAGCAAAACCACTGGCCACCTATCAACATCAAAGTTAGAGCATGGCAGCAAAGTTATGCTGTGTATCTGGTGGGAGCATCAAGGAGTGCTATACTATGCGTTACCGAACCCATCTGGAGCCGTCTTAAGATAGCGATACTAACAACAATTAAGCAATGAGATACGAGCACTAAGTGCAGTAGGCCAGATTATTATGGAGGATATTATAAGGGATATTACAATATGACAGCGTTATGCTCCACGTCTCACAACGAGAAAGGGAACTTTTGAAGCGATTCGCGCAGAAGTCCTAACCCACCCACCATATTATCAAACACTGCTTAACAGATTATCGTTCGTTTCGATCGACGAAACAGGGCTTCATAGAGCAACACTTCAGTTCATATTAAGGAGTTAAAGAATGTCCCAATCAGAGGATTGCCTCAAAATATAAACAGTTTTTTAGCATAGAACCCATTTGTTACTCGAATGACGAGAGTAGGTTAGGCCATCAATGAACAATACTTTGAGTGACCCTGGATGTATAGTTACTAGCAAATAAACATTACTTTATTTTATAAAAACAGTACGAATTCTTTCCATCTTAACACGTTTTTCAACGAAACTTGAAAAAAAATCGGTTTACTGTTGAGCATTTATCTGCTTCTCTCCCCTCTAGGGCATGCACCTGGGCCGTATGGCGACATGAGAAGATATGCCAGGTCCACGGAATTCCCTTTAAGGTGATATGAAGTTGCATAGTAATAACCAGCTGAAAAATACAGGGAATCCTGATTATTCAAAAAGCGTTTGAGGCTTTCATCTAAAATACATAAATAGCGTACAGTACTCGGGTACCTTTCTCCCACTCTGTATGCTCACGTAATTTGTGTGTTTTAATTCCCCAGATTGGCATTAGTTCACTCGCATTACTCGAAAATTCCTTTATGTGAGACTTTTGTACCATGTCATCGGGGATTGCAACCTTCCGCGGATTTTAAATAGATGTTTTATTGTCCCACGAGTCAGTCCAAGGTGCCACCCGAATACATCTCCCCGGTCCCGTTATACTGCCATGAATGCTCGCCTCCGGTCATCATAAGTAGGAAGGTGACGAGTTCTAATGTTAACCTTAGCGGTAACGTGTCCACAAGATGCACAGTAGAGGTTAGAAATGGACAGAGGGTGAGAGGTCTCGGGTTACTGAGAGCGTAGACGTCAATCAAACACAGTTGCTGGGGTGGCGAGCCATTTCAGCCCTATTCCGGTCTCGTGGCGCTAAACTGAACGCGCAGACAACTAGTCCCATTTCCTTTGAGTGAGGGTGATCCGTTTTCCACCCATTCTGGGGAAGTTGCATTTCCGGATTGTGAAGTGTAATTAGTTCTTATTAGTTAAAGAGGAGGACCTCGGCGGGCGAATGCCTAACACGTTTTTGGCACCAGTTGCCATGGCGACTCTGATTGCGATTAAACGGAGGTGTGGTTGCCTCAAAATGGATCGTTAACCTAAGAACTGTACTGCAACGATATTTGATCCACCCACCGTATCCGGCTGTTTCGGCTACTGTCTCTGACTATAGGTTCGAGAGGGAGTCTAAAATATCAGGCGAATAAAATGCTTGTCCCAGCGATCACGTTTATTTCTTCTCGGTTGGTATCTGTCGTTGTCTAATAAAAGTCGTTTTACTTCGTCCATCGACATGAATGGCCCGACATAAAAGCGTATATTTCAGCAATTCGTATGTTCAACAACTTCCCACACAGCAAGCTATTTTTGCATTAATCCATCAGGCAAAGCAAAATGTTTCACTTACACAACAGAAACTCAAAACCTGGAGGGATGTCGTTTGTCTTTTGAAACACTGGAAGAGCTCTAATTCGCGCACTGGAGTCTGCCTGTGTGTTTCTGACAATTAATGTACTACAACTTACTTTACTTTCGATAGTCCAACCACGGATTTTAGCGTACCGATCAGATTAGCTTGCACCTTTGCACTCAATCTAGAGCTGTCGTAGGCAGTCCAATAGTGACCGATACTGATGCAGAAAGGAGAGCCGACAAAGACAAGGGAGAGCGTAACACCCTATTTTTGACCTATTCGTTTTCATCCGTCAGCCTCTGGGAATCGAAGCCGGGATCTTTAGTGATTGGGCGCAAAGCTCTACCACGTCAACCTCGGACGCGTGCTACAAATAAAAATCAAGAAAACTGTTCAAACTGCCCGGAGTTATGTTACACGGTGCCTCAGTTATGAGCAACTGAACCCATAGCTATCCCGAGACCAACAGAATGTCCGAGCAGCCATTGTTGCAGTTAATACCACGGCCCAAGTGAACCTCACAGGCTCTTAATCAAAGAGCAGATGGGCACATTGCGGTAATCAGGTTTGCATTTTGTTTTGATTAGCTTTGCCTTAAATAAACAATAGGGCTTCTTGAAGTTCGCAGGTTCTACCTCTACTGTGTCTTACCCTCGGGCTATCTCAGGACAAACCTTGTCATTCAGTGATTTCGCGTGGCTCTGATGGCGTCCACCTGCTGAAGGAGACAGGGTGTCCATACGCGTGTTAGGTCCAAGGATTTCCCCCTCAAAGTGACGATGATGTACCGATAACCAGCTGTCTAGTTCACTTATCTCAGCATAATAAGCAGCACCGTGAACAAAACAGGTGTTTTTACTACGCAATGTCATCCTTGACTCAATCTACCATTTGAAACTAATTTTCGATTCCGTAAGGCCCCTTATTGCGTTAGGCGCCTACTTCGGCTATTTTTCGAATGGAAGATGAAGAGACAGAGTGCATTCGCCTATGCTTTAACGCTTGCAATTTTCTTCAAAGTTCATTAACAAAAGGAGAAGCATAGTTGTGCACGGAGCACAAAAACAGCATTTGCCCAGCTTAAATCATTTGTAGTTACCCTAAGCCGTCAACCACATCGGGGTTCTCTTAAACCGTGTTTTTTCGTTAGATATTAACAAAAGTGGTTTTCAGATGCTACCATCCTGCATTTCTCAAATGTTTACTTTACAGGAAAAATCGGGCCTTATTCATGAGTCACTAAACGTGTGATGTCATTGTACGCACAAAAAGAAGAAACAAGAACGATATCAAAATAACTAAATCATATATGTACAGAGCTTTCAGTAAAATAACAAAACACTAGGATTGTCATTGTTCGAATCAAGGGTAACTGGCACCGGGTAAGTACCCTAGTACCGGTTGTAGGGCAAGAGTCGGTCACGAAAAGGGCGCCAGAGGTTGTAAGGCTGGCAGTTTCTCCCGATTCATCTTGAAAGGTGTCCGTCTGACCCGGAAGGTTAGCACAGAACTGTGCAGTGGCTGCAAGAAAGTAGTAAAAAAAGATCATAAGTAATTGTTTTTTTTTTGAGAATGTTCATACCCTCTAGTACTTTGGTGCAGGGCGGAAAGGCAAATTTAAAGTAAATGAGGCATATTCCCAGACAGAGAACATCAAAGGTGAACACAGTGTACACATGACTACATTTAACGATTACCATAGCATTCAACAAATGTAGCGTTGATTTTTAATTCCCTCAGAAATTAATCGTTAATTTGGAGTAATTCAGTCTATCTGAAGCTTTATACGCGTAAGCTGAAAGTTGACGTGGATATTTGGGCAAATTCCTATTAGCCACAGTGAAATAACCGCGTAATATTAATTAAACTACTAACAGGCCGCCGATAGTATATAAAGGGATTACTAGCCACAATTCCAGACACGCGTTTCGCCGATATTCTGCCTCTGAAGGACGCAGCTGTGATGGGTTAGGCTAATCAGTGGGTCACTCAGCACTCCTTGTATGCTTTCTGGCAAATACTCAAGATATCAACTGCTAGTCTGCGCCTATTAATTTCAAATAAATCGATTTTTTCCGTACTAAAAATTTAACTTCTCAGAAAAGCAAAAATCAACAAGTTCGAAGATGAAGCATCTACTAGAGCGCACACATGGACCACTCGTCGACCCACTGATGAGCCAAACTCCCCAGGGGCGAAACACGTGTCTGAATTTTTAACTGATTCTTGTGCCGTGAATATGCTGCATCATGCAATCCCTGCGTTACGGAGTATATTGTGTGGGAAACTGCAGGCGACATTTAGGAAAACCTTTTCTGTCATCATGTCTCTTAGTTGATTTATCCACTTCATAAATCACATTTATGTAGTCGCCATAGCAAATATACAAAGGAACAAGACCTACCCTCTTTATAATCGGAGTTTTGGGTAAGTCAGTTGAAGTAGGTTGTTCGATCAATGCCATGGCTGTCGGCTTCGGTCTGTTATTGGTAGCTCCAATTGGATCGATTTTCTGTGGGAGGAAATAAATATTGCAATAAAATGGATTCGGACAGAGAGGATAGACACGCTAGTCATAGTTAGGCAAGATAAAGCAGGGCTCCCAGTTACTACTGGCTCAGCATCTTTACATGACAGTAAATAGGTAAGGCGTTCATAGGTATGTGTGTATGTTGTGTCCCCCAAACGGACCGTGTAGTAGATGAGTTGGGTCAACAAGGGCATTAGCTCAGGGCGCAGCAGACGTTATTCGGAATGCGCTCCAGAGATGGGGGAGGAATATGGTGGCGCACGTAGGCGCGCCAGCCACCTGTACTCCATCCCGCCTCTGGTCTTCTTGACTATCTCGACACTAGGCGCATATGGGGAAGGAGTAGGGCGTGCTGTAGGTGCTGCAAAAGTCTACTATCATTAAAAAACTAATTCACACAAAATGCACCGTCCCTGCACCATCATACTGTGGGGACACCCAGTGGATATCGTCGGAATCGACGGCTTGTATAGGGTGCAGCTTCATTCGGTTTACTGTTTTTGTCAGTTTTGCCTGGAGTTTATTCTTCAGTTGCGTTTTTAACTCAATTACTGCAGTTTTGTTATAAAAATTTAACTCACCATTGCGGAGGTTAGAGTTTCGGTGCTGACAGATCGCTGGCGGATAGGTGCCGGTGCCCGGGCCATTGAATTCGGGCGAGTGCTTATCGTGGTACAGTACCTAAGGCTGCAGTAGAGGGGTGGATCCTCGGATTCCTGAAGAAGAATGAGAAAATAAGACAGCAATGTAGACACTAATTGGGAATGACATGAAGGAGGAGGAGGAGGAGGAGGAGGAGGAGGAGGAG